GTAGTATCCCAGTCTTCTGCTGGATCACTGCTACAGTTCTGGAGCACATGTTGACTACAGAGCAGAGAGGAGAGCTGCCCAAGACCCTGACTGACATGTACTCACACTTCCTGCTGGTTCAGACAAAGAGGAAGAAGAACAAGTACCATGAGGGACATGAGACGAGTCCACAGGAGCTGAGAAAGGCTGACAGAAAACTTCTTTTGAAGTTGGGGAGGCTGGCGTTTGAACATCTGGAGAAAGGAAACATCATGTTCTACCAAGAAGACCTGGAGCAGTGTGGTCTGGATGTCACGGAGGCCTCGGTGTACTCAGGAGTTTGTACAGAGATCTTCAAAAGAGAGTGTGTGATCTTCCAGAAACCAGTCTACTGCTTTGTTCATCTAAGCATTCAGGAGTTTCTGGCTGCTGTCTACATGTTCCACTGTTTCACCAGCAGGAAGACACAGGTGCTGAAGGACTTCTTGGGAGAAAACAGGCACTCAAACACATCTTTTTTAAAGAACACATTCAGGTCATATACCTTCCCATCACTGGATGTCTTTTTGACTAAAGTCATGGAGAAATCCCTCCAAAGTGAAAATGGCCACCTGGACCTGTTTGTTCGCTTCCTTCATGGCCTCTGTCTGGAGTCCAACCAGATACTCTTAGGAGGTCTGCTGGGTCAGACAAACAACAGTCCAAAAATCATCCAGAGAATTACCGACAACCTGAAGAAGATGAACAGTGATAAAATCTCTCCTGACAGAAGCATTAACATCTTCCACTGTCTGATGGAGATGAACGACCTCTCAGTACATCAGGAGATCCAAGAGTTCCTGAAGTCAGAGAACAGATCAGAGAAGAAACTCTCTGAGATCCACTGCTCAGCTCTGGCCTTCATGCTGCAGATGTCAGGGGCGGTTCTGGATGAGTTGGACCTGAACAACTACAACACATCAGAGTATGGACGACAGAGACTGATTCCAGCTGTGAGGAACTGCAGAAAGGCTCGGTGAGTCCAGATGTGATCATTAACATCATTAATTAGTGTGGATTAGTAGTTTAGTTCTTTAGATATACACAGTACTAAATGATTCTCATCAGTTTGAGTTTCTCAAATAAAATCATTTTTTCTGTTGATCAGGAAATGTGTGTGCACTTAGCATGATCCTGCATTGGTCGTCGTACGCTGTGTGTTGTAGACTCACATCTACATGTAGTACCTGTGATGTGTCATTATGGGGCAGTATTTTAAATCTGCTGCTGTTGTTGTTGGTCATTCAGACACTCCTGTTAGAAAGAAAACAAAAATAAGAATCTATGAAGAACTTCTTTGTAGCGAAGTGAAGTCTAATGTTAAAACAGTCACCATTTGAGCTTCTTCTCTGTGCTCAGTTTCTGTTTCTTCTTTAGACAACTTATCAGCTAGTGAACTATTCAAATCAATTTTACTCATACAGCACCAAATCACGACAAGTCGCCTTCATATTGCAAGGTAGACCCTATAATTTACAAACAGAGAAAAACCCAACAATCGTATGACCCCCTATGAACAAGCACTTTAGCGACAGTGGGAAGGAAAAGTTCTAAACAAAATGTTCACAGAAGGCACAGGAGCACAAAGAACAGTCCAAAACAGAACCAGTCTCATGCTTCCAAAAACATAGATCCGGCGGCTGACCTGGAGGCTGACTGTCACGATCCTGGGTCATTTGACTCAGCGTTTTGAGTTTTAGTATATTTTGGTGTTTATGGTCTATATTTAATTTCATTATGTTATCTAAGTTCATTTTTATATATGCCTAGGTTGCTGTTATAGTTCATTGTTTGTTAGATTCACCTTGTGTTCACCCATCCGTTTAAGTCTCACTTACCCTTCATGTGGTTCATGTCTGCGAGTCTTATATTGTCAAGTTTATGTTGTCTTGTCTGTGTCTCATTATGTTTTCTGTTTTATTTTGAAGAGGTCTTGTGTTTCTATGTTCAGTGTGTTTAGTTTTACTCTTCCCCTGTGATGTCATTATGTTCATTCCATTCAACTGTTTCCCCATGTGTGTCCACTTCACCTGATCACTTTCTGTGTGCTTTTAGTCTGCGTGTTTCCATTCATTCCTTGTCCAGTCATCTGTTATGTTCACGCCATGTTTCCAGGTATTCACGTACTCTTGTCAGGTTTCCATGTTTAGGGTTTTTTTCATGTTACTTTCTAGTTTACTCCCAGTTTAGGTTATTGTTTAGCGTTGTCATTGATTTTGCCTTTTGTTTTGTAGTTATTCATCAACCACAATACATATCTCACTTTCTGCATTTGGGTCCTCTTCCTCATTCTATACAGTCTGCCTAAGGCAGACTGTGACACTGACAGCATAGAAGTCCATACAGTTCAGGTGGCCGACCCGGAGGTTGACAGCACAGGAGCCTGATAAAGTTGAGGGGTTTGGCCACACAGAAGATGGCGGCAAGTCAACAGTTCAGGGGGCTGACCCAGAGGCCTGCGACGGCAATAAAACAGGTCCGGAGGCCGACCACCGCGAGGTAGCGGCAGTGAGGGAGCAGTTCAGGAGGTCGGCCATGTGAAAGACGGCGGTGATAGAGCAGGTCCGAAGGCTGTCTGTGCTGGCGAAGAAGTCCAGTCAGTGGCCTGGAAGGTGGCCGCCGACACCGAACCAGACAAGGACAAGGTTGAGTAGGCTGAGCTGAACGTGGATGAGGTGGCAGCATCAAGGACCAGACGACAACTTGGCAGCCACAGGCGACAGAGCTGGTGGTGGTACTGCAGGCAACAGTGCGGAAACCGCAGGTATTGGTGCTGCAGGCGATGGTGTGGAAACAGCAGGTGTTGGTGAGCCAGCAGGCTTCAGCTGGCTGAATGAGCTCACCGGAGCTTTCAGCAGAGGATGGAGGTGACTGGGTAAACTCACCCAAGTTCTCAGCGGAGACTGATTGCTGACACAGAGCTCACAGGCGAAAGAGTTGAAAGAGGCTGAGAGCGTTCAGCTGAGAGCGTTCAGCTGAGAGCGTTCAGCTGAGCTCTCAGTCGATGATTGTGGTGGCTGAACAAACTGTAACGACTCCATAGCCTCCAGGGGTCCAGAGTCAGCTGAGGTCAGAAACTCAGCCTCTGGGGAAGCCCTGGAGAGAGGGACAGTCTCAAAAAAGGCCAGCTTTGAGAAGCAGCTAAAGTCTCGATAGGAATAGCTCCCTGCTTAGAATGGATGAGCAAAAACAGTCCTTTATATTCACATGGTGAAAAGGAGTAGTCCCTGAGTTGCTTGCTGTCGAGACGGCTGTGCTAATACATTCAGAAATGGGGTTTACGGGTTGTACCGACATAGGCCTAAGCACAGCAGGAGCCGGTGAAGGTGATGGCTGAATTGGCGGTTTAGTGAATGACTAAACTGACAGTTGAACTAAGAGCTGTGCTGCAGGCTGCGCTTTGTCCATTTTTTCAGCCCTGTAAGTGCAAGCATATCTGCCCCCCACATTAATATCCTGAGTAGTACAAAATAAATCACCCTGTAAGGATGAATTAGCTGAGGTACACAAACCACAGCTGTAGGACACTGGGAAACACAATTTGGCTTCATTGGAGGACCACTTAATGTTACAAACTAAAAACCTAGAGCCCTTATGTTTTGCTTCAATGTTTGATAAAGAGAGAGGAAAACAGTCCTTGTAGAAATAATATCAGGCTCAGAAAGAGCAAAACAAACAGAGTGTTTTAAATCCTCTGAGTTAGAACACACCCACTCAGAGGGAACAGTCTTAGCATTCCCTAGCCTAGAAAAAGTTTGAATTGAACAGTCTTTTGCATTCCTCTCACACCAAATCGCCCCAGGATAAACAGAGCTGACCTCAGAAGGAACAGAAAGAGTGTCTTTGTCAATCACCCCAGTTGGCTACTCAGAAATCCTGGAATCTGGCTGAGTAGAGGGGCACTGGCGATGTGAACATTGTTTTCTCCCAGATGAGGGAACGGAGGTGAAGGAGGAAACTGGTGATGGCGGAGAGATGAAAGCCTGCTTCTCATCCTCTGAAAAAATCGCTGCCAGAAAGGAGGCAGGCCAACAGGGTACTGACCGGCATGTGGAGGGGAAGGAATTCCACAGCTTAATTCCAACTGACATTATTTTTGTGTCCGAGGTGTGGGGAAACTCGCCCCCACAGACTTAGGATGTGGGTTAAATTGCTGTGTTCAGGCAGCAGAAAGGACCCAAATGCAGGACTCGATGTGGCAAAAAGTGAACTGAAAAACAGCTTTATTGCTGTATGCTGACTGAACTAAACTAAGGATACAAACTAAGTATACAAACAGGCAGATAGACTGGCTTCATGGACAGATAGAGCTGGATGTCATCTGCATAGCAGTGAAAATGTATGCTATGTCTTCTAATGATGCTGCCTAAGGGAAGCATGTATAATGTAAACAGAATTGGTCCTAGCACCGAACCCTGTGGAACTCCATAATTAACCTCAGTGTGTGAAGAGGACTCTCCATTT